AAAACAAACATCATTTAGAATATGCTCTAACTTACCATGAAGGTGGTCCCATAGGCTTCCATTTTCCATATAATCATAGAAGAGCAGGTTCCCAGAGTGCGAAAGAGAATATCTTGGAGGCTCACAAGATTTCGATGTTTGATGCTCCCAACTGTTTCAAGCTCTGTCTCAAATTCTTTCTTGCACTGTGGATACGAGTACAGTCTCTTGATTGCAACTGGTTTGCAATTTTTAAGCACGCATTTATACACCGTGCTTGATGCACCATAACCAATAATATACTTCTCATTCAAATTCTCTGTCATCCTCATGATATCCTCGTACACATGAAGAGCCATGTTCATATGAAGGATCACCAATTTCGGTGTTGAGTATATAACTGTTATTAACAAGCACCAAGTTAGTAACAGGCATTTTTCTGGATGAAAAACAATGAAGATGCCAAGAATCACATAAAACCAATTTCTTGTAACAGGTTGACCGCACTCACCAAATCTAGCCTCAGGTTTTCTTTGTAAGTTAGGATTACTGAAGAATTGAAATTAGTGGGATGAACTATAGAATCATAGCTCTTCACAACAATTCAATGATCCAGAATACTATTGATTGAATAACTCAATTCAATAAAAAAGTTTTGAAGTCATTCAATCACGCAACCAAATTCTACTCATAATCAACTAGTATACAACTCATGTCAAGAAGAGGTAATTTGCATGCATGGATTACTTCCTGAAAAGAATATATGACAACCTGGTTTGTCAAGTGATCCATCTGGAAATGGTGCAGGGCTTTGGGGTCGACAAACTGCCACCAAGATCATGAGAAGAATTACAAGGGCACCAAGAGCGATCCCGAGAATAGCTGCTTTAGAAATCGTAACTGCACATACAACAAAAAGAAGCAAGCTTAAAAATAGTAGTTCATTTGTTAAGTATTAAAATAAGCAACAAAAACACAAATATGTATCTTAATTAATTAGTTCAGCAGCCAATTATCAAAAGCAAACTAATACAAAAGAGCCCTCACATACAACTTAGCATGTAAAACGAACCCCAAAGGAGTTACAAATGCACAATAGCAAATGACTGAATCATGAAAGGTTGATGGGAGTTTGATGTTCTACTTTGCATGACTTGATGACAAAATAGTGGACAATGGAAAGTTAAATAATAACATTAGGAGTAATTGGCTTATCATGAGATCTGGTGTCTAACAGTAGTTTTCAACAGTCTCATGCAGTTCATGGTGAGAAAAATTGCAGGCTGTTCGGGAGCTTCGTGATGCAATCAGATGAGATAAACATACAGTTCCAGTTCAAGGGGATCCCTACCTCGTTCCGTTGGATGAGACTCATGGCATGGAGAAGTATGCCAGTAACCACAAAGACCAGGGTTACCAATGAAGCTGAGAAGACAGTGTTACATCAATCACGAATAAGCCAAGAAAGCAAATTAGTATATATCAAAAATGTCGTCAGACTTATTAGGTTTACCTGTCAGGTGAAAATCTTGAAAAGTTATTGCTCGTAGGAATATCTCCAGAAAAGTTATTATAAGATACATTTCTGCATACAATAAGATTGTGGTGTTAATGTGAATCATTGTGATTATGCATCTTTGACAGAAAACAAGAAAGCAGATTAGGGATAGGGGACCCACAAGACAACAAGAGTAAGACAGTTGATTAGAGATGTCAGGTCCCCTGATAAGTTATTATTCTCGAGCCTCCTGCATTATTTTGCACCAAAGATAATACTATTGAGAAATATAAAGGCATATCAAGTTTGAGAAACATTTCTTAAAGGAGCCAAATTTGAGAATCATAAACCCGAGTTTTAAGGCCATTTGGTCTATGAACTTCCTCCCCACCCCAAAAAAATAGGTACAAAGAAAAAACTAAAGAACACCCATAAATAATTTTCTTTAATAAGTACAACCAAATTTCATGTGCTGAAACCACTCACAGCTGCTCTCTGAGTGATCACGATAATTGTCAATCACAACTGGATCCAGCACACGTTCTTACTCAAGCTAAGGAGTGTCTTTCTATGGTCCTCAAACATTTGTTAAGGCCATCAGTACCATCAACAGTATGACTGATATAAAGCTAAAGTTCCAAAATACATCCAAACAAAAACCATATAGACTGGTATACTCCACCACTTGTAACGTTGATTCATATAATCACATATTATAACTTACAGCGAGTATACCTTTAGCAAAAACAACTTACAATGAGAACATGTTCTGAAGTTGACTAAGTTCCTGAGGAATCAAGCCTGAGAGATGATTATTTGAAAGATCTCTACAAGGCATATAGGTTAAGCATCAGAACGGATGAAAAAGTAAGACAGATTATCTACTATAGCAACTATGACTTTCTTACATCTCCATAACGCTTCTTAGATTCCCAAAATCTGCTGGAATAAATCCTGTTAAGTGATTTTGGCTTAAATTCCTGAAATAAATTGTGCAAGTTAGAGACAAGAAATCTTTTGTGGGTAATTACTTTTTGGTAGGACTTACAGTTTTAGAAGGTGTTCCAAATCACCAAGAGAAGAAGGAATAGAGCCATTGATTTTGTTATTGGAAATGTCCCTTCAGGAGAAAAAATTAATAACTGAAATAAATGAATAAATTTATGAAAATAGTCCACAAGCTCAAGGTACTTACAAAGTATCCAAATTACCAATACGAGATAGCTCAACTGGAATAAGGCCCCCAATGTTGTTGGAGGAAAGATTCCTGGCAAGGTGATGAGAAAAAAAAAAAGAGCCATCAAAACAATTGGAAACACCAGACATGATACGGTTGGGGAATTATGGGTGAATTAAGGACAAAAACATGCTCATGCCCCTTAATATATATAATCCATAAAGCATTGAATGCATTGGCAAAGCAAGGACTGACAACAAACTAGGATTACTTATCGATGAGTGAATATTTAAATATAATGGGGACGTAGTCCTTAAATCCTTAAGCAAATAGAACCGAGAGGGCATAGGATATGTCTTCTTCATTAAAAGAAAAAGGATGTAGAATATATGACTCGCCTACCAAAAAGAATAAATAAAAGAGATAGCATGAGCTCAATCAGTTAAAGAAAAAAAATCAATGAATCTCAATATCCTTTCCCATAATTATAATAGAACAAGGCGAAACTTACAGATAAGTCATGCTCTCTAGCCTTTGGAATGCACGAGGTATTGTTCCATTCAGCTTGTTCCCATGTACATTGCTGGCATTAAATCAAGTATATTAGAACCACCTTGGGGCAAAACGACATTATAAAGATTAGAAGGCTGAGACTAAATACTTACAGGCTGTTAAGATTTGCACATGAACTAAGATTGTCAGGTATAGGTCCTTCAAGGAGGTTGTTAGCAACATTTCTAAAAGTACATGGAATTAGACTAAAATACGTGGAAACCTCTGAAACTAGGTCAAGTCAGAGAATAGAACATACAGATCAAAGAGTTCAGTCAGCTTCCCCAGCTCTGGTGGGATTCTCCCTGTCAGGTGATTATCATTCAGTTCCCTGCCAGTTTTTTTGAGAGTGGTTATTTATCTCCATACACAATTACAATTGATAGATGCCACCAATGAATGTAACAAACATTTCTTCATATGCTAATCAAATTATAAAATCTAAGTACACAAAAAAGCGAGAACCATGTTGATAAGCCTGCTCAACTAAAATGATGATGCAATATAAGAAAATACATGGTAAATTAGAAGCATAAGATGCATGCTGCGCCAAGGGCCGCTATTATCATACTCTAGGTTCGACACAACACAACAACACTGTTACGAAAAGAAATGCCAGCAGTATTGTAGTATGGGTACAAGCAAGATAAGGTAGTGATCGTACAGGTAGTGAAGCTTCGTCATATTTCCAAGCTCTGGGGGAATAGGTCCTGTCAGCTTATTACCATGTAAATACCTACATCAGCAAATCATAGTTTATCTATTAAATTATAGCATAAAAATAAATAAATCTTTTTGAAAGCAGATAATAAGCATTGAAGAAAGAACTAAAGGATGTTCATAATTGCTCTACAGTATGCAGCAGATTAAGGCTTGTGATTAAGCATTTTATGGCGGCATGCAACCAACAGAAAAAAATTGGTCTTTAATATTACAGAACTTAAATTCAGATACAATGGATATAAAACAGTTACAATGGCAAAGCACATACTTACAATTTCTCTGTGTAAGTTAAATTTCCAAGGATGGGAGGAATAGGCCCACTAAGCATGTTACAGCTTAAATCCCTATATTGGAACAAATGAGACACCAAAATAATATGAATACAAGGGGAAAAAAGAAGTTTGTGAGTTTTGTTGTAAGTAGAATCAAGCCTATTAATTTGAAAAAGATTACACTTCCTTTTATAAAAGGTTTTCAAATTATAATTGCCTCCCTTTATAAGACATTAAAGGTTTGAGTCGATTTGTGCATCCCACGTGTCCACATTAGGAGGTTGTCATGATTGATGTATGTGTTAATTAAAAAAATGCATGAATTTCTGCTCAATCTAATAAACTAATTGCAAACTACAATTGGAGGTAAAACTCACTTTTTTTTCTGAAAAGACACAATACAAACTCCTTCAAAAAAAATAAAACACAAAAGTCTAGAAGAAAATGAAAAAATCATGACAAAAGTTAGAGAGAAAGTTTGGTTTGTCAAAGTTCTTCAATTGTCTTTTTCTAAACCCTCTCAAATTTTAGTCAAAATTCTTCAATTTTCTTCAAGATTTTGGATCTTTATTAGTGTTGTCCATGAGTCGTCTCTTGAGAAAAGAACATATTTGTATTGTGAAAATGACTTTAGTATCTCAGTCCACTGCACTGAATTTTGAAGTTTGTTCAGAATGTTAGGATTAAATTTTAATTTTTCGAACTTATGAACCAGTTCCAGTTAGTGCCAAAACACATAGTTTCCCTAACCAAAAAGAAAAAATCATAAATTCTTAAAAGAAGGTGCTTCCGATAAATTAGTTGGGAAAATGCATTTGGAAGGTAATTGGAAGCACTTACAACACTGCAAGTGCCTGCATGAGACCAATCACAGATGGGATCTTCCCTGAAAGCTGATTACCTTGCAAGGATCTAGTAAGCATGACAAAAAATTCTTGTGCCTCAATAAATTTGTAATTGCTTCTTAAATTAAGAACCAAAATCAAAGACAAAAATAGATGCACATACAATGTTGCTATTTGCAGAAATCCAATGTTGAATGGAATTTCTCCAGTTAGCTGGTTGTAGGACAAATCCCTACAAGTTGAACAGTAGTTGTATTAAACAAGTTAACTATTCCAAGAAGATAAGACCGCCCATGATGAGGAAGATAGGCACATACAAGACCTGGAAGGCAGTGCAGTTGCCTATATTTTGAGGAATGCTTCCAGTCAAACTGTTGTTTCTCACATCACTGAAAATGATAGGAAAAAACCCAGTTACACTGGCAGAGACTTTATATGTTGGGACACCTGGAAGAAGCTACTGCAGTATTAGCTTGAACAACAAAATACTTACAAGTACCATAAACCAGTCAGCTGGCACATATCTGGAGAAAGCGTGCCTACTAAATTGTTCCCCCGCAAACCACTGTCCAAGATCCATAGGTTGATATTTCAGATATAAGCATATGTTGAGAGAAAATAACAAAGCAGTTGGATAAAAAGACTAACTTAAACATCACAAAAACATTTACACACTCACAGATACTGCAAAACTTCATTCCAGTATATAAGCCTTGGTATTTCTCCACTCAGTTTATTCTGAGCAAGGTCCCTGAAGCATTGTACAGAAAAGAATAGCTTTGTCTTGGATTATTAAGATGTGAGAAGATAAAATAATGTCAAGAATGGTTGATGTGTTTTTTATTGAATATCACCACCTTAAATTCAAATTTTGTAGAATAGAAAACAAAAATAGACCATTAATTACATTAATTAAATAGAGTATAGTTTACCTTGATCCCCATTAACTTAATTACATACTCTTTTTAACACTCTCCCTTCAAGCTGGAGAATAGAAATTATTCATCCCCAACTTGCCAATGATAGTTTGGAATGCTGAATTACTCAATCTAGCATATATCTG